GGATCTTGAGCTTGAGGAGTGATCGCTGCACCAAGTTGATGATCCACAGCGGCGGCAAGTCCAATGTGCGCAACACCTGCCTCCTCAGTACGGGGTCGTTATGCGCTGGTCAATCTGTTCCAGCCCGTTCCCTAGCGGTGGCTGTTTTACAGCCTTTTTTCTGCCAGGCTTGCAATTATCAAAATTTGCAACAGGGCATACCTGGTAACGCTTGTTTCCAGTCGAAAGGTGCTTCTCAAAGCGCTCGACTTCTACCTGAAATACATCAACAGAGATGCACAGTCAAAGGGGCTAGATCTGCCTGACCACAAACGAGCGCCTCGGGAGATCGAAAAGGTTCCCACGAGCATGGGGTCCAACCGCGTGCGTTCATAGACGTGTTCATAGGTGGTACTTTCTGGGTAGGCAGGCCGCAGGAACGAAAGGCTGAATGCAAGCCAGCAGGAACCACTCCGCCATGGTCTACCCGCTTCACCAATCACTTACGGTACGCAAAGCGGTCGGCACTGCGCGAGCTCTGTTCCATGAGCTGAGGCCTGCTTATGATCGCCTGCATACTTCATAGCATTGTGCAACATCGCTGCTCGCATCGAATGCCATGTGAACAGCATCTCTCAGCACTTCATTGCCCAGTAGGGGTCTTTCTGCCCGCTCTGACCGCATTGCGGAGCGTGTGGTGCCCATTTACCACTGCTTTGCCCGAGAGAAACAAGCAAAGCGAAGGCTTGGATCATTATTGTTCCACGACATGACCTGCAACTCACCCTGGTCGCAATCCTTCAGCTGGCTGACCTCCGCACATGTGCCAAATGCGGAACGCCTTTTGCTGGACAATTGAACGCACACGCAGATCAGACTTGCGTGAGCAGTACGGGGACACCGACGTGGGCTGGGCGCTGCCATTCTCTTCTCAAAAGCGTCCCTTGCTTTCGTTCAGGTGTGCTCATCTTCCCGACCCTTTGTCCATCGAAATCGAAGCTGGTATGCGGACTACAAGCAACATGGCGCTCGCGTGGCCGGTCTTACTCTTGGTTGGCGCGGCCCTTGCTCAGCAGCAATGCTACTTCTCGGCAGGTGCTCAGTATCGCGCTGATTCCCAAGTAGTGCCATGCAATGGTACTGGAGCGTCCGCTTGCTGTCGGCTTGGCGATACCTGCTTGTCTGGCAACACCTGCTACAATCATGACACGGGCAACCTGTATCAGTATGGCTGCACAGATATCCACTACGAAGATGCGAGTTGTCCGTACAAGTGCGGGCTTGACCCAAGTACAATGCCCCTGTTTTCACCATCATCCTTTCCAGCGCTGATGGTAAGCAGACAAGTCACCGTGGATCGCGCTCGAATACTGCCAAGATGTGCAAGACCTCTCGAATACTTGGATCTGCCATTCTCCCGACTCGTGTGGATGCGATTGGCAGTCCACGAGTGACCTGCTTGTATTGCAGCCTCGAGGCTGTAAGGAAATGGGCAGTGATGCACTTGTCGCTCTCTATGCTCCAGAAAAGCTCGCACCGTACGTTTCGCTGCCTTCAAGCATTGGCGGTTCGACTGGATACTACTCCCCAACTGTCTCCGCGGGAAGCAACTCCTGGGTAGAGACTGCAGTCCCTGGATGTGAGTCTTACCACGTGCTCTTTGAACCTGTATACTGACCTTCGCCGCCAGACACTCCAACTCCTTTCACACAGCTAACGACATATCGTGATGCGCCAACAACGCCCATTCAAATCCAGCCCGATGCCACGCCTGGACCATCGACATACGCCTCCGCTGCAAGTTACACCGCACCCTCATCGAGATCGACTTCCACACGCAGCAGCGATACCACAGCAGCCTCGGCGTCCGGCTCGGCTACACTAAGTGGTGATGCTTCTCTAGTATCGCATAGCAACGCGCCTGATACCGGACTAAGCACCGGTGCCAAAGCCGGCATTGGAGTGGGTGCAGGAGTCGGCTTTTGTTTGACAGTGGCTTTGATCGTTGCCCTCATCCTCCTTCGTCGACGAAACAATAAAGAAGCCAAAGCACACCCGGCTCCTCCTCCTGCGCCATCGTATCCAGGGACACCACACATGCAGCAACAACAGCTTGCGCCCTATCCTTACGGATCGCCAATGCAAGGCATGAACTGGGCTCCGCCATATGCGCAAGGCCAACTCCCCGAGGCGTACACTCCATACCACCAAGATTCACAAAGCGAGGTGTCAAGAGACAAGTCGCAAAATTCTCCTTCATACAAGTCACGCTCGCCTCCTGTACCCAGCCCACCAATGGAGCTTGCTGCAGACGCGACGAGGCCACCTATTCACGAGATCGACTCGCATGATGCAACGCTTGATGCGCGGCCAGAACATGGGGAGGGCGGGAGGTTTTGAAAGGCACGCCGAACCGAGGCATCGGTATATAGCACGGTGTAATTCTTGGGGTTGTTCTGCTGGCAGACGCTTCTTGGAGATCCTTAATGGTGTGTGCGTCAATTGTCTGTATACATGCGTCATGTAGCCTTAGATTTCTTTCCATGGGACAACATCCCAACACTAGTGAGCATGTCACATCCTCCTCTTGCACTGTGATGTCGGTAATACAACCACAGCCCTTCATCGGCGCGGCGTCGCCAATGCAGGATAGTGATGCTCTCGCGATTGAATCGAGCATCCTCGCGATTACGTCCTTCAAACTTCACCCGAACCCGGACCTTTTGGCGTTTTCATTCCTTGTCGACTTTCCAACTCGCATTCTCTCCCTTGAGCCTTTCGCAAATTTCCATATGTTGCTTCGAGTTATGAGCTTGCAGGGCTAGACACCATCGACTATCTCGAAGCCTAGCGCGAGATTCTCGAGTAGAATGTAGTCATCGTTGGCGGCATGTGCTATTAGGAGCCATTCGAGGTAGGCGGCCGTAGTGGAAGGAAATGGGCGAGAGCTTGTCGCGTTGTTTTCAACTGGCTCTTGTAGCACGGTCGCGATAAATATGAGAGAGGCAACTGTGAGAGATCAATGTCATAGTTATTCGAAGAGTAGATGTTAATTGCTATTGATAATCGTATAGATGGTGTAACGTCTCGGCTCGGAAATCGGGAGTGAATGAAGACGGTCCGAGCTCTGTCGAAAGGACACCTTCACAAGCCCCGGCAGACTCTTCGTCTCTTGATCCCACATCACGCTCACTAAGACCACAACATTGCAGTGTGCCTAGCCCATGCCTCTTTGCTCTTGGCGTGATGTAATCATTTTGGTATAGTGACTGAACATCGCCGACACGTCAGTATTCTACGATGAATCGGCAGTTGACATGCCTCTCACCGATCGCCGAACCTTCCTTCAACCTTGAGAGCTGCAGGAAGGCAGCAGTGGTGATGCATATAAGGAGGACAGAGTGGGTCCAGTCGGAAATTAGAGATTCCGCCGGGGAGCCGATTTCTTAGCCTTCTACACACATTTCTGCTCTTCCAGTAAACAATCTATTTTGCACCTCGTCGTCGCTCTCTCTGCACCTTACTATCGCTATCGCTGCTCTTACTGTCGCAATGGACACCTATATTGAAGGCCTCGCAGACGCCGCAACTAGCTATATTGAAGGCCTCGAAGAAGCTATAGCCTTCGACTTCGCTGCTGCCGCCGCCGAGCTCGAGAAGGTAGTATTTAACACGCGGTTTAACGCGAATAGAGACGTTAAGAAGTATAGTATTAATGAGCTAACAACGGCGGAAGATATAGCGGATATCTTTAGTAGAATGCGGCCTATTAAGCAAGACGATTTGCTGCTCGACTTGGCTAGTCTCGACGGTAGTAAAGAACTCGACGGTAGTAAAGAACTCGGCGGTAGTAAAGGTAACGGTAGTAACGGTAGTGACGGTAGTAACGGTAGTAAAGAAGATGCTAAAGGCGAGATTGTAAGTAATAAAGAGCTAACTAAGAAGAAGAAGGCTTCTCGTAGCTATAACGAATTTAAGAGCCGCTAGCGTAGTTATTACTTTAACGCGTCGTAAAGGTTAGTAGTACCTGTTCTAGCTAATGTCGCTTCGTAGCGACAGTTGCTATTCGGATTGCGACCGGAGCCCTTCTAGGTTAGTAAGGACGATAGAAGCACCTACTAGCTATTAATTAATAACGTATAGTATACTAATAGCGCTTACCTTATGTCCGCTTCGAAGTATATACGCATCTTTAGCTTCAAGTGTCGCCTTAGTCGTAAGTAGCGCGCCTTATAGGCGGATAAGTCGAAGAAGTCGAACAATAAGAGGCTTCGTAATACTAATAAGGACCGTAACCTCTATATAGCGCGCCTAAAGGTTAAAGTGTTGTATAAGCCGTATAACGAGACTAACCCTACTAGCAACCTCGTTAAGAATAGTAAAAAGGAGTTTAAGCGTATTAAACTAGTCGAATACTAGTTCTCGTACTAAAGTAGGGATTAGGCCGCTTATAACTACTCTCTCGAGACTTCTAACCGTAACAAGTTGAATTCCTTCTAGCGGAAGGTAGTTAGTAACGAAAGGCAGAAGGGCTATAGAGCGGCGGAGGTAAAGGACAATATAATAAGTAAAAACGCACCTAGGCAATATAAGGTTCTTAAGGCTTCCGGAGGCCTTAGTTTTAAGCGAATGCACGTTCTTAATAGCGCTCGAGGCTTCCGTAAAGTACACCCTAATATCCGGCATACTAGCGGTCGATTAAGCACCTTAGTACAGTTGTTAGAGTTAAGAGATTAGTTGTTAGAGTATAAGTTCTTATTTCCTCGAAGTATTAAGAATTAGAGGTGTTGCCGCTAAGCATCCGTAAGCGGTTTAGCTTATCTCTTAGCGCGACCTCTAAGTAGCTAATCGGCGCGGGACTACCCTTTCTCCGATATTATCCCCTCTATTTTCCTTATTTAGAATCTTCCTCGAATACTAACTTATAATAACAATAGCATAATACCTATACGAATACGTCGAAGCTAAGCATTATTAAAGTGGCGCCGACACTATTAGATATATATTTGCTAAACGGGAAAGACTAGAGCTTCTATAAAAATATAGGCGGCTTTGTTTAATAGATTCTATATACAAGACGAATTTCCTAAGTTAGAAGCTATTTACTATTATAGTACGCGACACTACCGGCTCTTAGCGCTACCCCTTCTATTTTCTTATAGAATACGAAGACGGCGACGTTATATTATCGTATATACTTGTTGTTAAGAGATAGTGTCGAGAAAATAGCATAAGGTAGACTTCTAGGTACTAGGTTACAGACGATAGCGGAGCTAAACAGCGAGCGGTCAAAATCGCCTTTCTAGGTCTAATTGCAGGTAAGACAGAAGTGACCTATTATCTCTGCTATAAACACGTCGACGCTACACTCCGTAAGCGCTTTAAGGCCGACAAATACAAGAAGACCTTAGACTATATACTTATAGCATTAAAATTCAGAAGAACGGAGCTTAGTTGTAACGACTCGATAAACAAAGCAATCAACGCGCTTCTACGCAACCTCTACGGCTAACCTAAGCGAGAATAGGTCAAATATATTAAGAACGAGTTTATTAAAACTAAGCGAATGTAGGCTAATTTTGCACGAGAACACTTACCTCTATATATGCAGTATAAGACTACTAATCTATTAGAAGGTCTATATTCTTGCCTAAAGAAGGGGGACCTTAAACGCGCTATAGCGGCGTTCTCGCTAAAGGGCATTGCTATCTATATCGATAACGTTGCGAATAGCTTCGACTATAGGGCTAATATCGCCCTTTATAACTTCCGCTCGAAGATGCACCCTATTATCTATACTAATAAGTAGTTAAAGCCACTTCCTTACCCTGTCTAAGCCCTTATTGCCGCCGAGATTACGCTCGGTAAGCTAGAATTTGATGCTAGCGATATTAGAGACCTCGACAACTATAACTTCTGCGAGTGCGCTTTCTACCGGAAGTATTAGATTATATGCCGCTATATCTATGTATGGAATAAGCTCTGTAACAACCTCTCGGAAGAAGACTATACTATATAGACATAAGGCTAGTAGGAGAGCGGCTTTAAGTTATACTTCACTCGAGAGCGCGTTATTATTAACCTCGAGCTAGAGACAATAACAAGACTAGAGCGACGCGCTATTAAGATGAAGGAGCAGGTGTTTAATATCCGAGAGCGCTTCTACAACCTCCGTAAAGAGTTAGCTAACAGTATAGACGACGACACGGCCGATAAAGCACTTACTAAGTAGTTGTCTCGAATATAGGCGGCTGTAGACCCTATTATTGCCCTCTTAGTTGCTAAGCTAGTTGCAGAGGTTTAGTTACTCGGCCTTTAGGTGCCGCTAGCACTATTACTGCTACAGCTATATTAGATAGCAACTATACCGACAAGCTCTTATAATCGGTCGCTATAGGATACTTCGTCTATGCCGCAGTATTTACTTACTTAACTAACGCATAGCAGTAGTAGTAAGAGGTCGAGAAACGCGTAGAATAGGGCGGCAGCGGCGGCGGTGGTAGTAGTAGTACGGCAGTAACGATAACAACACCTCGGATTAAGCGATATTGCTATACTATACGTAGACTTTAGCTTTATTATAGCGATAGCGAGGTTAGAGGGCAGTAAGGGTAGTAAGGGCGAGAGGAAACGCGTAGTTTATTTACTAAGATTTAAAACAGTAGAAGGTGCTAACAATAGAATCCGTATCTCGTAATCTCCGGTTCCGGCAGACCTACTCTGTCCTCCTTATATACAAGACCGTAGCAGTCTACCTGAAAGACACTTCATTTTCCCTCCTGTTAAAACACCCTACTACAATTGCTAAATATTCCTGAATTTTAAAGAACGAAACCTTTAGCACTACCTCCTATCAGGCTTGTAGGCATAAAGAATTAAACTGCGACGGGTGTACGTAAATAGATTAGTAATTAGTTAGGGCTAGCTTCCGAACTTTCCGACTAGCTAATTACAAACACACCTAATAATTCTTCGCCTACAAGCCTAAGAACAAGCCGTACCAAACTAGCCTGCGATATAACGTGTACAAGGAGGACTTCGTAATGCTACCCTCTTCGTTAGCGTAGTAGGAAGGGCCGCTGCTAGCTGTTTCCGGTAGACGCTAAACGATTAGTAGTTAGTTTAGCATTAATTAGAAAGCGGCAACCTCCGCGAACCTCGACAAGTAATACCTCCTATAGTCGCAAATACGACTATACTATTTAATTTTATTACCCTTTTATAGAAGCTCGGAGGTTGCCGAGCTTAGCTTAGCGGCACTTAGCTATTCGACTAGGCTTTATACTACCTATTTCTACATTACTATATTCTATTATAATATATTAGTAACGATTATAGAATTATAGAACCGGATACTACGATTATTTTAGTACAAAAATTAGTATAATCGCATCGCTATAGGGCGTATATTAATTCGATAAAGTATCGATATAAAACGACGAGGTGCTTATAAATCCGCGCTAACGAAGGGGTAGTATTACGAAGTCCTCCTTATATACGTTACTACTTTTTCGCGACTATACAAATATAACAATCTAAATAGCGGAGATTATAGCCCTACTAATTGCGCTTTATTCTACCTACTAAAAAAGTCTATATAACGTTAGCGCGTTAAGTTTTCGCTATTCTACTAAGCCGACTCGACTATAGCTATCCGGATTGCTAGGCGGCTAGCTATACTACTAGAAACACCTTAATATAAAACATACCGCATCGCCTAGCTAATACTTAGAGGTCCTTCTCCTAACGCCGGCGATTATTATTTAGATAGGCGAAAATTCCGTCCGACGCCTACTAACCGCTCTATAGCCTTCGAAGGCAATCGATAACCTTCCTATAGCCGACTCGACACTTCGAGGTCCTTCGTAGACTATTTCTAAACAACTTTTATAAAGCGATTAAGGGCGCCCGAGTAGTACTTATTATATTGTCGCTAGATAGTAGACGCTATTCTAAAGCTAAGGCTAAAACACCTAAAAGTCGCTACTAATACCGCTAATACCGCTATAGAAGAAGCTATAGAGCCGTTAAGCGAAATTAGTAATATACTAGAATATCTGTTCGATACCGTAGGTTAACTAGTCGTCGATATATAAGGTAACTATATACGTATCGATAATATAATAGATATAGATATAGACGAAGATAATAATCCGCTTCTAGGCTAGCCTAGCTATCCGACTTAAGGCCCTACGGGTATACTAATATAGCGTCTGCCTATCCTAATAACTAGCGGCAATCTATTTAGTAATCTCGACGATATAGAGATACTAGCTAGAATAGAGCATATCGGCTAACTATCTCGAGCTACTACTGCTACTAAAGAAGAAGAAGAAGAAGAAGAAGAGGAGTCTAAGGATAAAGACTAAGGCGAAGAAGATGCTAAGCTAAGTAACGATAAAGAGGTTAATACTTATAATTTAGATAATAACGACGACGACGACGACGATAAGAAGGCTGCTAAGACCGAGCGTAGGGCTACTAACGAAGACACTATTAAGCGACGACTCGACAAATACTATAAGGAGCTAAAGGGCCTTATACGGTAGTACAAGATTAGCACCCTATATCTAGTTAAGTATTTAGTTAGCAAGCTAGGCAAGAAGAACTCTAGATCTCGTAAGACGACTAAGCGCTCTACGTAGTACGAGCTTAATCTGTAGTCCCTCCTAGTAGCCTTTCTAGAGGAGCGTCTATTTAGTAGCCGTATTATCCGCAAGGAGCTAAAGGGCCTAGTCGGAAAGCCGTTGTTTAGTATATATAAGCTAGAATATAGTAAGATAGAGATCGACCTTACTAGTATAGACGAGACTATTAAGCAAGCTGCACCGACTTAGTACAAGCTCTATATAGAAGAGCTACTACCTAACCTTCGCCGCGATACCGAGCAATACTAAGAAGAATTCCTAGATAAGCGCAATATAGCTAAGAAGCGTACTATTGCGTTAATAGCTTAGGTATTATACTCGATTTCATATATTAATACGTCCTTCTTCCCGAAGGCTCTCGGTATATATCGGTCTCGTATAATATTGTCGGTTACTAACTATTGTCTTAGGAATCTTCCTTGTCTCTAATAGCGCGAGTCGTCGCACGATTAAGTGCTTAAACAATCTAAATATAGTACTGTCGTACCGCACTATTTAGATCCTAATAGACAAGAACGCCGATATATAAGAGACCGAGATCGCAGAGTTAGCTTACTATAAGGACAAGCAGTAGTTCTTTATAATCGACAACTTTAATCAGATATAGAAGCATACTATCTAGCGTTCCGGAGAGACTAACGAGATAAAGGCTATAACTATATCGTATATCGCAAAGAATAAGCGCATTCCGAAGGGCGGTCTAAAGAAGAAGATAATCTATTACGATAAGCCTCTCGATCCTAATAATATCTTTAAGAATATATATAAAGATTAAGCAACCCGGCTAGCAAGTTAGGATAGTGTCGAAGAGCCTAGGGTTATCGAGAATGTAAACAAGAAGACCGCTATATTCTATATTAATAAGGCAATCGTATATACATTTCTAGAGGCCTATAAAGCGCTATTTAAGAAGGAGAAAGAAGAGGCAGGAGATGCTATAGTAACACCTCTAGCCTAGCCTGTAATCGACGAGCTTCCTATAGTACGTATAGAGCTGTATTCGATACTAGTCTCGTTTAACGATAAAGCGACGCTTAAGGGCATAGTCGCTGTTTAGGATAAGATTTAGCTTAGCTTTATAGACCTCGATCGCGATAAGGATTTCGCAAGCGGACCTAATAGTCCTATAACCCTTATAGCTAGCGACAACATAACCGTATTGCGATCGATCGGTGTCTATAACGAAAGCGTTAAAAGCGAAGATCTATACGACAAGCGAGACACTATCGTCGCTATCCCTATAGCCGAATTCTATACTATAATAAACACATTCTTTACCGCCCTACGCACCTACTAGAATGATAATAAGGCTAGTAAACCTCTACTAGTCGCACAGACCTTAAAGGGCGATACGGCTTTCTAGTATAGCGAGAACAAGGTTAGTAAGAAGAAGCCTAAGTTCTTCGAGATCCTATAGCTAGCTATTACTACTTTCCGCTCTCGTGCTATTAGTGCGTTAATATAGTAGCTTTCAGATAATAGCCGGATTGTTATTACTAGCAAGGAGAACTAAATAGACCTAATTGCCGAAGCCCTCTCGCGAATAACTACTAAGCAGTATCTCTACGTCGTTAAGGAGGTAATTTATAAGTAGCTATTATTAACCGCCGCCTAGCGTAGTAAGCCTTATCGTACTAGGGGCGAAGCTCCCGATGCCTAGTATATAACGATAGCGAGGTTAATAAAGGAGATCGAAACTAGCCTAACTCTCCGCAAGGCAGTCCGCAATATAAACATCGGATATCTACGTAGAATTACCGATTTCCTAATCCCTAGCTTCTTCGGCGCTAGCTAGGGCAATTACGGGCGTATAATAATCTTAAAGCGCTAGATACTTAGTCCTAGTTGTAATCCAGTTATATAGGATGCTATCCTTTTATCTAGTATCGTATCTAATAGTAAGAAAGGCTATACCCTAGCCGTCGACGAGTAGCTCGAAGTTTATAACTACGAGTATTCCGAGGATATTAATCGCATCGCTAACTCGATACACGATTTAGTAGCGACGTTTAAGAAGGTTGCCCTTAATCGAGAGCCTTCTCGAGTCCTACGTAATATAATAACTAGCTTTACTAGTATTAAGCTAAGTTTATACTACACCTATAAGAACACGTCTAAAGACGTATTTAGTCGTACTAAGATGCTATTTACGAGCGGGTTCATGTCTCCTTATAGTAATCTAGGCGGCAATGTCTCGGATAATATTTAGCAAATCGGCGGTATATAGATCGATACGAAGGTTGCTACATTTAACGAAGCGAATAAGCAGTACTTCGAAGGCCGTACTACGATCTTAGACGAGGTAATTGAGGATCTAGACACCGCTAATACCAACCGCGAAGATATAGCTAACCGCGGTAGCCTTAAGGATGCTATCGTTAGTAATAATAATAGGTCTAAGTAGCTTAGTATAATCCGCAGATCGGATAGGTTTAATACACTAATTTTAGTAGAGGTATTAGATATAACTAGCACCGATTAAGAGAAGGAATTGGCGCTGGAAATAGCACTAGAAATAGCACTAGAATTGGCGCTAGAATTGGCGCTAGAAATGGCACTAGAATTGGCGCTAGAAATGGCACTAGAATTAGCGCTAGAAATAGCACTAGAATTGGCGCTAGAAATAGCACTAGAATTGGCGCTAGAAATAGTAGTAGAGTTAGCATTAACAAGATCCGTTATAGCTACCCTTCTATTATATCCTTGTAAGCTCGCTAAGTCCTTGTCCTATCCCCGGAAAAGTAAGCCGTAATACTACGCTCGATCGCAGGTTATATACTATACTATCTTCTAGATCGGATAGGTTATACACTATAATATATTAGGCCTGTTTAGTTCTACGAGAGCTAGTTAAGTTGCTTCTACGAGTGTAGGCCTAGCACTAAGCCGTCGCTGCTAACCCTACCTAGTTAAGTTGCTTCTACGAGAGCTAGCGTATAATGCCTAGTTTAGCTACTTCTACGAGAGCTAGCGTATAATGTGTAATGCCTAGTTTAGCTGCTTCTGCGAGAGCTAGCGTATAATGCCTAGTTCAGCTGCTTCTACGAGAGCTAGCGTATATCTAGTTTAGCTGCTTCTGCGAGAGCTAGCGTATAATATGTAATGCCTAGTTTAGCTGCTTCTACGTCTACGAGAGCTAGCGTATAATGTGTAATGCCTAGTTGAGCTGCTTCTATAAGAGCTAGCGCTAGAATTGGCGGTAAAATAGCGCTAGAATTAGCAATAGAGATAGTGCTAGAGATAGCACTAGAGATAGCACTAGAATTGGCATTTAATAAGGTCCTTCCTAACTACCCTTCTATTATGTCCTTATAAGCTCGCTAAGTAGGGTCTTCTATCGTATCCTTATAGGCTCGCTAAGCAGGCTCTTTATTACCCTTCTATTATGTCCTTATAGGCTCGTACCCTCGTAGTCGAGTATATAGCCTTAGCTATTAACGCGCTTGCCGGTAGTCGATAGTCGATAGTCGATAGTCGATAGTTAATAGTCGATAGTCGATAGTTAATAGTTAATAGTCGTAAAAATCGTATATGTTAAGAGCTAGCGGAGAAGCGTAAATTCGAGGAAGCGATAAGGATACCGAGTCCCGCTAAGACCCCGGATTTAGTATAGTAGAGCGCTTAATTAGTAGGATTAAACGTTATAGCTGCTTCCTTCCGTATATTAATAATACCTTTACGACTTTTACAACACTTTTACGACTTTTATAATATTAATATAGCGAAATACGTCGATTGCGCGCATTTCTAGCAAATAGCGCTAACAAAAGTATCTAACACGATAACGACGGCCGCCTTAGGCACTAAGAACCGCCTCCGAAACCCGAGAAGTCGCTAACACTAGCGACACTAGCACTATACTTATTGCACCGCAGCTATTAGCACTACAATATATACGGTAAGGATAGATACATAGGGCGATAACATATATCGAGCGCAAGCACTCTTCGAGAAGCTACGATAGCCCTCTTACGTTAACGCCCTCTATTGCTTAGACTCTCCTAGAACGATCATTCCGATAACTAGTTACTATACGAGGCAGAGAAGAACGAGTAGTAGCGTCCGGGGATCTAATTAACTAGCGGCACTAAGCGGCTATAGAAGCATACACTCCGAAGCATACTAGAATTATATATAGCCTATATACTACGCGCAATGCGTAATAATTAACGCATTCTATCGCTAACTATAGTACGAGGTGTATAGGAAGGGACTTATTAAGCGAAATAATAACAGCTTATTCGCTAAAGCGACACTTATTAGTACCTAGACAACAATAGAGTGTAACCGCGCCCTTAGTATTAGAGACACCGTAGAAAAGGGTTGTCGAGCGCGTTACAGTCGTATAGTAATATTAATACGCTTGCTAGAAGAGGGGGCGCACTATAGTCGAATAGCAGTCTTAATACGCTTGCTAGAAGAGGAGGCGCACTACAGTCGAATAGTAGTCTTAATGCGCAAAGGGCTGCAGTCGTATAGTAGTAAAGACTAAGCGCCTTCGGGCTTAAGTATACTAGAGGCTCTTACGCAACGACTAAGGTTATTATAACTAACAATCCTAACGAAGGCGTTACGCCGACTTAACTAGATACGCGTATATTATCCTATAAAGAATCCGAACGTAGGAAGCCTATAGCCGCTACTTAAGGTATACCTTACTAAAGAGTTTTTACCGAGTTAGACCTATAGTAATGCTACGAACCTATTAACCTACGAACTTATTAACCTACTTAGTAGGAGAGTCGCTATCGAGCCGCTACTTAAGGTATACCTTACTAAAGAGTTTTTACCGAGTTAGACCGTTAGCCGTATTATAGGTATACCTTACTAAAGAGTTTTTACCTCCGCTAATCTATCTAAGACCTCTGCAGTTTGCACTAAGACTGCGATATTCTAATAACAACCTTAACTATACTCTTTTAGTTAAATGCGCAGTCGGCGCCCGCTAAAGCTATAGAAAACACCTACTCGCTAGGAGAGTCGCCTTGCAACGTCTTACTTAGCAAAGCCTATCGGAGACTAAACCTCGAAGAGAAAGGACTAAACAAACTCTACCGATCGAGGAACCTTAACTATTAGATAAGCGGCTCTGTCGGTAGCAAGCCGCAGAACTAGCAAGGAATAGTATTAATCGCTATAGAGCTACCTATATACGATAAAGAGGTATCGATACTATTATATACGCCGATAGCTAGTATATTACTAGGGGTGTTAGTGTGTTAGTATATATATATAGAAGAAGACGAAGAAGAAGAAGAAAAAGAAGAAGAAGTTAAGGTTAGAAAGCGGGTGCCTATATGCGCCTTATAGGTAAGGTCGGCCTCTACTAATAAGATTGCGCTATTTACGCTATAATAGCAAGGTAACAATAACGGCTATATATTACCGCACTCTTAAGGCAATAGCCGCCGACTGCTAGGCGAGTGCCTAAGGCTATAGCAGCACTAGAGGCTATAGCAGTACTAGAGGCTATAGTAGTACTAGAGGCTATAGTAGCACTAGAGGCTATAGCAGCACTAGAGGCTATACTAGCACTAGAGGCTATACTAGCACTAGAGGCTATACTAGCACTAGAGGCTATACTAGCACTAGAGGCTATGCTAGCACTAGAGGCTATACTAGCACTAGAGGCTATACTAGCACTAGAGGCTATACTAGCACTAGAGGCTATACTAGCACTAGAGGCTATACTAGCTATATACTTAAGATAATTTACGAGGAAGAGGATCGGTAGCGCAAATACGACCTAAACGTCTATAATTCTAGAGTATTCTTCCTTCTATAGCGAGCTATTAATCTCTAAGCAGTCCCTTCCTTTCTCCTATATCCGATTAACGATTAACGCCTACCTAGAGAGCTACCTATTATATGCCGACTAGCCTCTAATAGCCTACGCTTACGCCGGAGCACCCTGCCTCTAGTCTCTTCTATAGTACGAGATATAGTGCTTAGCAACTGCTTAGATCGCTAATAGTTAGCCTTAATCTAGGGATTAATACGAGGTATACTATATCGACCTCCTAGAGTGCCGGAAGGACTACGCTTATCGCGATAGCTAGTATCCTATATAACCGTATTAGCGTTACCTCTAGCGCTACCTCTAGCGCTACTAGAAGAACCTATAGTAGATTGTCTATCTCTGCGGCTACTACGAGCACCTTAACCTTAACCTTAACCTTAACTAGCTATAGGACGTACGTCTACCGCCTAGCTATTGCGACTAAGGAGACGATCGGCCTATATACGACCGGACTAAGTAAGACTATTCCTTAGGGCATTGAGTTGCGCTTGTCGCTAGACATTAGTAAGCGGTAGCGCCGTCGGTAATACAGATCTGCTCGCGGCAGCGGTGCCTTATAATAAAGCATCTCGGGTAGCTTAGGCTTCTGCTTCTGCTATTGCGGCGGCGGTCTCTATAGCTTTCTTTCGGTCCTCTATACGCTTCTTCTTTATATCGATATCCTCGCGCTACTACTTAAAGACCTCCGGACTAATACGCTTAAGTTTATTTAGTAACTTATATAATCTAAAAGGCCGCTATCCGTTATCGATAGAATCGTACTACTCCTTAAACTCGGATGCCTTCTTCTCGATAAGGTCTTTATTAACGTTAATACCCTATGCGGTATTCTAATTGTCTGCTAAGTTAGTCGCGGTAAAGACATTAGTAATGCTATATAGTATACGATTATTAATAATACGAGACAAAGGGAAGTCGAATATAGTTCTATCTTCCTAGCCTAGATACCGGTCGTTAACGACTTTAGCAGAGGTCTACGCCTATAGTATCTTAAACGCAATGCCTAGTCGGGTATTAGACTTTAGTGCTTTAAACTTCGGAGGTATCGCGGCTTCTAGAGGTAGATCGATATATACGAGGTTAAGTTCCGGATTGTAGATATTGTAGCAGGCCTCTTTATTAGGCAGGTCTTAGGTATATAGTGCCTTGCCCTTACCTAGATACCGGAGGACGACTTTACGAGAACATATACTATACTGCTCTCGGTAGTAATCGTTCTAGACCTCGAACTAGATACGAGGGATCTTCTCTCGTATAGCGATTTCCGATTTAGTCTAGTATATAGGATCCTCTTCCTTATCGTTACTATTAAACGGATTACCGACTTCTTACGTACCGGCTACATTAGCATCCTCGCCCGGTAGCTTAGATTAGCGGAGTCTAGATAGGCGAAATAGCGTATACGAGTTACGACGAGTATAGCGAGTAACGTTAATCGCGGTATAGTTAGTTCCTAGGCGGACATTCTTTACACTATCGTCGATATAGTATAGGAGGAAGATAAAGGCTAGACTGCTAACGATCGTATAGCCGATACGACTAAGACGCTATATTACATCCTCGATATCGCGTATAATAGGGAACTTAACCTACGCGACAATCTCGATATCTAGAACATTTAAGCCGACGCTAAATGCTATAGTAGCGATTATAATACGATGCTTCGAAGATTCTTCTAGATAGTCGGCTGTCTTATAGTACTAGTTATATCGACGCTTCTAGTTACGCTTAGCGACACTGCTAGTATAAAACGTAATAGTAGTATAAACGTTAATACCCTTATTGTCCTAGGTATATCGCTTCTTCGGATCTTAGCAATTAGCGGTAGTAGTAGTAAGCTAGTAGCGGATAACATTAGCTAGGTCCTAGATATACTTCCGACTATCGATAAACAATAGCGCCTTTTTAATCTTCTCGGGTATTGCCTCCTTAGTATTAGAATCGAAAGCACCCTTAATAGTAAAGTATAGATAGTCGTATAAGCTAAGCTAGTTCTTCGGAATAGTGCGTAGTATATACGTAGTATCTAGACGGTCGATACTACTATAGAGGATCTTTGTCTAATATAGCCTATTGCCTACTTCTCGGAAGCCGCTATGTTTAAGTATAAACTCTTCGGTCTCTTCGGATATAGTAGTAGAGCAGCTAAGCTATACTATATCGGTTCGGAGGAGCTTACGTAGTACATAGATTTAGGCATACTCCTTACGGAAGTCGCGCTACTTGTTTACTAAGTGCACCTTATCGATTACGACTAGACCGATACGTACGCGGACCTTTAGATCTCGCAGAAGCTTGCGAAACTCTAGACTAGTACCTGTCTCTAGACTTAGGATAATATAATAATATTTGCTGTCGAGGATATACTTAAATAGATTTAGATCGACGCTTCTCGTCTCGGAGGTAATATTAATAGCATTTAATAAGACTTCTAGCTCCTTTGCGATGCTAGTAATACTATCGGCTTGTTCCTCGCCGAGACGATTTAGCGGTGTGAATTAGAGGGTTATTAGACCTAGGCGAAAGTTAGTACTAATAGCAATAGTAACTAAACTAGTATTAAATAGCATACCTATTAATAACGTAAAGGACAGGAATGTTAGCGTCTTGCCTTCGCCTGTCTTCGAGATCTATAATAGATTATTGCCGCTAAATACAATAGCGTAGACTCTATTAATCTAGACAGGCCTCGGAGTGTATTCCTTCCCTAGATAAAGTAGCCTAAGAATCTTACGCAGACCTTCCGAGCAGATATCGCGGTATACTTCTACTACTTCTAAACAGGCTGCCGCATCGTATACTAGTCGGCGGATCTCTTCGAGGCTAAGCGGATTATTAGTATTATTAATCTAGCGGCATCTATCCTAGAAAAATGCTTTGTATTCGGACTTGTTCGCTAGCTACTAGATCTCTAGCAGATAGCTAAAATCTAGGCGCTCGCGACTTACTATAGCGCGACCTAGTAACTCGGTCGGATATTGCTATTATTAGCTATTAGTACGAACGCGTCGAGCAGTACGCTTCTAGTTCTTATCTCGCTTCTTTTGCGTGTTTACGGCATTCTGCTGCTTCCTACTAAGCTTCTTAAGCGGCATACTAGGCTAGATCGAGTCGAGTGTAGCGGCGCGGCGAGATTAGAGATTAGAGATAGCGAGGAGGCGGCGGTAGCGGCAAGGTTATAGAAGTGTAATATACTAGAAGTAGCAGTAGTAGCAGTAGTAGTAATAACTAAACGGCTATGCGAATAGTGTCGAGTGTCGAAAGCGCGAGTCCTTAACGTTAGCGCGCACTTTAGAAGTTAATGTTTAGTAACGAAGTTTGCTATGCCGGCGGTAGTAAGGTTGACTTTTAAATACTATAGATTAACCTAGAAACGGCTAGCGGACCGACTCCCGGCTTTTACGAGACAAACGCGCGTATGCTAAGTGAATTAGTGCATAGGAAGGGTAAAAAGCAAACGGAGAGGGCTACAAAGGCTATTAGCCCTAGGTAGTAAAACGGAGGCAACGTATTAATAATATAGACATTCTAAATATAGGAGATTATAGCGGTAGTGTTTCTTAGGCTCCGCGTGCTCTTTATAGCTTATTAGATGCTTCGTTTGTATATATATAGTATAAGGTAGGGTAGAACAAACAGAGCGTGCGCAAGGTTGTCTTAGTATACTAAGAATTAAGTATATATTTCGCATTTTAGTATATACTTTATATAGACAATTTAATAGATCGTATTATTACGTAGGACCCTTTTTCTAGGTTAGTCGATATCTAGCGTAGAACTGGTGCACTATATGCGATTGTTTAATTCTAATGTAGCAGGTTGTATAAGGGCCGAACGGGTTAGTCTTAGGCGCTTCGCTATAGGCTTAGCATAGACCGCTAAACTAGATATATCCTAGTGTACTTGGCGGAGAGATAATGCAAGAATATACAGAGGGTGGAAGGTGGAAGGTATATAGGTATAGAAGGTGGAAGGTACTATATTTAGGTGGTGGAAGGTCCCTACAAGCCTACAAAGCGGGGCGCCTGAATGGAGGTAGCTTCAGCATGTCTATGACACATGCAGACGTCGACCAGGGCAAGCGTGATGGCTACCCACGACCATTTCCCAATACGCCAGACAATGTGTTCCAGCAATTTAGCATGAAGGGCAAAGTCTCTGCAATTACTGGTGCTTCCGATGGAATTGGCTGGGCTGTGGCCGAAGCACTGGCCGAAGCTGGAAGCAATCTGGCCCTGATGTACAACAGCAACAGTGCTGCTGAGAGCAAGGGCAAACAGCTCGCAGAGCAGTATGGTATCAAAGTGAAGGCCTACCAGCTGCAAGTTACAGACCCGGTCAAGGTTGAGGAGACTGTCAATCAGATCGTCACGGACTTTGCCAAGCTGGATGTATTCGTTGCTAATGCGGGAATGGCCAATTCGAAGCCCATATTGGAGCAGAGTATTGAAGAATACAGGGAACTGGTGTCTGTCAACCGTGAGTGCAATCTCAATGACATACTTGGTCGATACTGACAGTTCCTAGTTGATGGAACCTTCTATCAGGCCAAATTCGCAGGACATGTATTCAAGAAGCAAGGTTTCGGCAATCTCATACTGACGTCCTCGATATCTGCTCATATCGTGAACGTACCCATCGATCAACCGGTACGTGAAACTCCGCCTTTTCCAGGCAGCGATGCTGATTCGAGTAGGTCTATAATGCCACCAAAGCTGCTGTTTCACACCTGGGAAAATCTTTGGCTCGCGAGTGGCGAGAATTCGCGAGGGTCAATATTGTGTCGCCGGGTTTCTTCGATACGAAGCTGGGAGCGGGACCAGGAGTGCGGAACGAAGCATACCGCATGGCTGTACTTGGGAGGCAGGGTCACACGAAGGAGATCAAAGGGTAAGATTTTCACTTCCTATTGGGACTTCTTGCTAACGAGCACAGATTGTTCCTCTATCTGGCAAGTGATGCGTCATCCTACCAGACCGGTTCTGACGTGATTATTGATGGAGGCTACACATTGCCATAGAGATATTTGTATGAGGTGATGTATCCACATGTCAAAACCAACCTAACTTCATGCCACTTTTTATCATCAAAAGTGCAGCTCTTTCTGCGACTCCATCCGGGCAGAACTATCGGGACGGGAATTATGCTCGCGTCGACAACCCTCAACCCACTCACGCCTTCGACGCAACAGTCGCCATCGACGACCTTGCCCATGGACGCCGTTCCGGCCGGGTGGTAGAATGAGGCCAATCCTGCAGGAATCTGCTTATCGAGTTCAGTATCCGTTTCCTTTTCATTCAGTACCGAGAAGCCAGGTCAGGCGTCTCGCTGGATATATATTCTTGCCCGGCTGCCGTGGTCATGATGTTACGAGACAATCTCACTCCAGGTCTCAGCACCGCTCGTGATGTGGGTCCCATCCACTAGTAGCGCTCCTTGACTCAGCGGTATCGAGAGATAGTCAATCGTGAGCTCTATATTGTCTTTCCCGGAGCCTTTAGCAGCAGCTTCCCACACTTTAAGCCAACAAAGAGCTCCGGTCTTGAGTTGAAGTCATTAGGGCCTACCGCAAGGCTGTACTTCGGATTCCTCAACTTCGAGAGTACGCAGCACGAAGGGTCATCCTATAGGTTTTGTCCTACATCTGGCCGGTCGACTGCGAGAGAGATACCGAATTTCTCGAGAGCCGCGCTAAAACATCTGCCCGACAAGTTCAGCGGATATCCTCTATCTCTAGCTGAAGGCGTGATGGGCCCGGAACAGCGACCAGACCATGGGTTCGTCTCGTCTTTCTTGAAAGATGGCAATGAGCTATCGTAGCTCTATCTATCGACTTGAAGTGTGTGTGTAGGCTATTACGTGTATGATGCCTAAGGCTGCAACTATACACACTTTATCTTTAGGCTTTCTATAATTAGCCCTCTTCTAAATATATTACAGTTTATATCTTAAGTAGTTATAAGCCCCCTACGTTTCTAATATATATTTTAATACTTCTAATAGTTAGTCCGACTACTACGTAGCTAGCGCTTATTACTAAAAATTACGCTAATACTAATATTATTACTACTACTATCGCTACCCTCGAGTATTCTAGTAGATACTAGTCTAACTCGAGTTAGTTACTATAATATTAGTATTAGCTATCCGCTATATTAGAATAATAGTATCGGCTATTCTCTATATAAATATAATATAGGCGCGCCTATTAGCGGCCTCTTAAGATAAGTCTATAGTCTCTTTTATTACTATTACTATCTATAATAGATCCTCTTATAACTCCTAATACTTATATAAGTAATATTCCTAAGCTAAAGAATAAGGAGAACTATCTAGTATAGGCCTATACTACTAAGGGTACCCTTAAAGATATATAGGTATAGTACTATATCTAAGGGACCCGCCTAAAGCCTAGAATTAACCTATTATCTTCTAAGACTTAGGAAGAGTTTAAAGACCGCTAAGATAAATAGGAGGAAATATTAGTTAGCGCGTACGTAGATATTCGCTAACTATAGATCGGAGATCTAGTAGTCGTTACTTAGACTCGATACCTCTAAGATAGTATAAAAGTACCTATATAAGAAATATACTAGTAAAGGTAGGTCTACTAAATTTATACTCTTCTAGGACTATACTACCCTTCGCTACGATAGTACGGACTTTAAGAAGTTCTATAACAAGTATAAGAAGAAGCTCGGTACCTTAAAAGATACTAAACTAGCTATTAGCTAATATTAGGCTATCTATATATTTATTATATAGATTGTACTATTATTAGCTAGTAACCGGCCCTATATATATAGGCTAGGGCTTAAGCCTACAAAAGAGGCCTCCTTTTATATAGTAGATAGATTATTAACCTTGTATAGTATATTGTTTATATTACACTTCTATAATGCCTATATTATAGGGCTCTAATTATTAGCCTAAGCGACAGTCTTGTTATCCTATCTTGCTAAACATAGCTATATATATTGTTATAGGTTATATTACCCTCGGTTGCCTATACTATTACTACTAGCGGTAGTAGTAGTATTAGTTTCCGTCCTTTACTATTTTACGAGGCTTTCGTATAGATACGCTATAAGCAAATACGGGCCTTAGAATATATAATTAACGATAGTACCCTTAATAATATTATTAGCGCGTTACTTAATAAGAATAGTATAGCTTAATTAAATTAAGCCTAATATAGTAGCTTTATTAGTCTTTAGTACTAGCTACTATAAGGCAGATATAGCAATAGTCGAGGTAACTCGAACTATAGCAGTCGTAGTAGCCGCGGAAATAATAATAATAACGGTCGAGGCCGCGGTAGAAACAATTAGAATAGTTAATAGAATAGTTACTAGCCTAACTATAAGAAGTGCGCCTATTATTAGGGATCGTATTCTTCTAGCCGCTACTATAATAAGTACCCTTATCTAAAGGAAGACGACCTACTATACTATAAGTAGTAGAAGGCTAAGAAGAAGAGGGTATAATAATAGTAGTAGCGTAGACTAACTGCTTAGTAACCGCTATAGTCTAGTATATAGGGGCTATTAGCTAAGAATATACTACCCTTATTCTATAATAACCTACGTCCGGATTTAGCTAGTTTAGGTAGTAACTATACCTTTAATATAGTTAGTATTAGCGATACGGCCTCTATAGCGCTTACTATAGCGACTCGTACTACTAACTAGGTTATAGATTCTAGTACTAGTATATATATAGTTAATAACTCTATTCTACTTCTTAAATATTAAGGTTGCTATATTCCTATCCGATTTAGAGGCAATACGAAGTATATAATAATAGTAGGTATTACTTAGACTAAAGTTATTAACGAGTATAGTATTAGTAGTATAAAGTTGTCTAAAACACTATATATACTAGGTCTAGTAGTATACCTACTATCTACTAAGAAGCTTACCGATAAGGGCTATTTCTATCGTAACGATAACTTTAAGATAAGCTAGTGCTATTTACTATAGTTAACGGCAATAAGGCTACTATTACTTAGACCTATCGTAAGAATAGCCTTCCTTACCTATATACGCTAACTTTTAGCCTAGATAGTAAAGTTATAGCGCTTCTAATAAAGTAGGGGGTACCGAGTAGTATAGTAGAAGAATAGTATCTACGATATAGTTATATCTATAACTATAAGCTACTTAGGATAGAAGCTAAAGGCTAGATTGTTATTACTACTAACTCGTAGCTCTATTCTAGTACCTTACGCTACGCCTTATTCTTTAAGAAGTTATATCTCTTAATAATATTACTAACCGTAGACTTGGATACTATACCGTTAAACTCGTCGAATATAAACTATACAGTCTTAGAATAGTATAAAGTCGGTCGATCGCGAAGATAGTCGGTTATATATACCTTCTACGCTAAAGTAAGGGCTCGAGACAGTCCTTTCTTTACCTATTACGGATATAGCTTACTAGGTGGTGTAGTATTAATCCTTAGGGCATCGATAGCGTGCCTACTAATACGAGTCTATTATAAGGCACTACGATTAGAATAGCCTTCTACTTATAGATCTTTAATAAAGGTAATCTAATCTTCCGATATGTATATATAGTATAGAAGCGCGGATTTCTAAGCCGGCTACGCTATTCTAAGCGACTAAATAATACCTAAGAACGGCTATACTATTAAAAAAGCGACGATAAGAATACTAGTAATAGTACGATTAATTGTAGCTACTTAGTATTCGGGATTACTAACTAGTTGGTAGGCTTCGCGAACGACGCGTGTAGACCCTAGGTAGGTACGCTTACCTTAGTGTAGTAATAACTATTTGTTTAATTCAGCTTATTTGCCCTACTATAATAGCCTAAAACTAGTCTAGTTGTTTCTATATCTAATACCCCTTAGTTTGCTTTCTTTAGCTATATATACGTAATAAGGGAGTAACTTAAAAAATATACAGGCTATTACGTATATAATGCCTAAGGCTATAACTATATATACTTTATTTTAGGCTTTCTATAACTAGCCCTCTTCTGAATACATTACAGTTTATATCTTAAGTTATCGTCTCCCTGCGCTTAATTTAGCTTAGGATTATACGGAACTAATTGTAAAAATTTCGTTAAATTCTAAGGACGCTATCGGTATACAACTCTAAGAACTGTATATTGCACAGCAGCGCGCGCTAACGATTACCACGGCATTTCCTTCATTCAGACATGCCTACACTATATAGTGCAGCTGTTGTGTCACTAGAATTAGGGCAGTCGGAGCTGAAGCTTGGCCGTAGTTCTAAGCTTCAGCTTCTCTGTACAAAAGCTGGCTTATCAAGTCCCCTGATCACTTGCTAGCTCAACACGAGTACGATGCTAGCACTTGCCCTGCCACTCATCGGCCATGTCTTACCTTCTCTGGCGGTACTAGCCCATAATAATATGGGAACATCAACATCTTTGGCTTTGTTCACCTATGAAAAGCAAGTGATTGGGCATGAGACACTGATAGGACTCTCTGGAGACGATGCAGAAACTTTCAGATTTGGAGACAATGACCAGGTAAATTGCAGCAGAAATGTCACACAAGAGTGCAAGCTCTTTCCGGGGGATAGAAATTGGCCTTCGCCATCGCAGTGGCATCTTCTTGATGCAGTCACTGACGGTGGCCTGCTCCAAGCTCGGCCTGTTTCGGGCGTCTGCTACAATGGGACCGGAGCGTCTAATAGCACTGCCTGCCGAACCGTCACGGATAATTGGAACGACCTGCGCTGGCACACTGAGAATGCACTTGAGCTGCTTTCGCCATTCTACGAAGGCAACACTTGCTTGCCACCAACGATCTATGACAGTGGACACTGTCACCAAGGAGGATACTCAACCCATGTCGTCAAGGCCACCACTGTTCGAGATATACAACTGGCAATCAACTTCGCTCGCAACACTGGGGTCCGGCTGGTCATCAAGAACACGGGACACGACTTCAATGGCAAATCTGGGGGCGCTGGATCTTTGAGCATTTGGATGCACAACCTCAAGAATATAGAGTTCATTACATCCCACCAGTCTGCTGGCGGCAGCTATGTTGGGCCAGCCATCAAAGCTGGTGCTGGTGTCCAAGTTGAAGATCTCTACGCTTTCGCGTACAGGCATGGACATGTTGCAGTAGGAGGGGATTGCAGCACTGTCGGAGTGGTGGGTGGCTACATTCAAGGAGGCGGGCACAGCCCTTTAAGTCCGCTTTTCGGTCTGGCTGCCGACCAAGCCCTGGAGTTTCAGGTTGTCCTCGCCAATGGGTCTTTCATCACTGCGAATGAGGTCGAGAATGTCGACCTGTTCTGGGCGCTTCGAGGTGGGGGTGGTGGATCATATGGAGTAGTCACTTCCACAGTCATCAAGGTCTACCCAAACATACCTGTTTCCACCGCCAACTTGACGATCAGCACAGTCGACGAAGGCGTCTCGAAGGAGGCATTATGGAGCGTACTGGCCGCCTTCCTCTCCTATTTCCCGCAATGGGCCGATGACGGGATATACACATTCTTCTTCATCTGGAACGACGTGCCTTCTGCTGGCGAGTTGACTCTCGACATCGCACCATTTCTTGCTTCGAACCGGACACTGAAGGAACTTCAGGGCTACTTGGCGCCATGGCTCAGCCAGTTGCGAGAACTGAATATCTCTGCATCGCCTGTCTGGGATCACTTCCCCGACTTCTATACTGCTTGGCTCACAACAGGCCGAGAGACTATGCAGCCTCCAAATCAAGCTGTTGCCTCGCGCCTCTGGCCTCGCGAGAACTTCAAAGATGCCCAGCTGTTCAACGCCACCTTCGAAGCAATTCGAGCTACGGTAGAGGCAGGCTACAAGACCTTCGGCTACAACATTGCCCCTACCCTTGCTCGTGGCAGCGACGTCGATAATGCTGTCACTCCCGCATGGCGAGAGACCGTTAGCCACATGATGTCCGGAGTCAACTGGCCGCTTTATGCGAACTCATCGGCTATCAACCATGCTTGGGATGATTTTGAAGTGTATATGGATCTTTGGCGGAAGCTGAGTCCAAGAGCTGGAGCTTATCTCAATGAAGCAGATCGACGGGAGCCTGAATGGCAGATGTCTTTCTGGGGAGAGCACTATCCGAGACTGCTCGAGATCAAAAAGCTGTATGATCCGTATGATCTCTTCTACGCTCATCATGCTGTTGGTAGTGAGGGATGGGAGGTGAGAAGTATCGATGGTTTGCCAAACGAGAATGGCCGTTTGTGCAGAGTATCAGCCTGAAGGGGCTGCCGCGATGAGGTCCATTTTCGAGAACGGGTATCACGACTAGCGTATATCGAACTCTGAACCTGAAACATTAAACTGAAGTGTTGTCTCTGCCGTTCGTATGAATTTGTCATAATATGAAGACAGGTCGCTGCAACAAGCCTATAAGCTTATAAGAACACCCACAGACCAACTCGGCCATCTATTGCCGAGGACGCAGCTGAGCCGGAACCATCTCTCGGGCTGGCCTAGCCGTTGCTTACCGACTCATCGACCCCAACGTATGTCTCAGAAGCCAACATCTAGTCCTCTTTCGCTACGCAAAGAGTACGCAGCCTCATCGGCACAATCTAATCTCGATTCTTCAGCAACCGATCAGACCGGGCAGATTCTACGGACTGTGATTCCAGCACCTTTCAAGCATACATACAGCAACGCCACTCAAAGACGAGGTCAGATCGGACAATCCAGAATTTCGCATGAACTAGGCGGACACGTACGAAGGAAATCAGTCCGAGTAAACGATCATGAAGCAAGTAAATGAGATCAACGGCCTCGGTGCCGAACAAAAACACATGATAATCGAATCAGCCGAAGTTCTCCTCCCATCCAAAGACATAGCAGAAGACATCGCCTTCTGGACCTCAGAAACTCTCGGTTTCCGTATGAACCAGATCTACCCAGCAGACAATCCAGCAGTCGTCACACTTTCCGGCCATGGCCTCAACCTCCGTCTCGACAAAGCCGCAGCCACCGAGCCAGGCACAGTTCGCCTCCTATGCCAAGGACCCGAAGAAGCAATCCTCACTTCACCCTCAGGCACAAGAGTCGAAATCACACCAGCAGACATCCGTATGACCCAACCACCAACTCAACACGCATTCGCAACCCGTCGCCTGAAAGACAGCGACTCCTGGATCATAGGTCGCGCAGGAATGCATTATCGTGACCTCATCCCCGACCGTCTCGGAGGTGCAATCATAGCCTCACACATCCGGATCCCCGACGCAGGCCCAGTTCCAGATCAAGTCCACTACCACACCGTCGGTTTCCAATTAATTTACTGCCACGCGGGCTGGGTGCGTCTCGCGTACGAAGATCAGGGACCGCCTTTCATTCTCTCGGCCGGAGATTGTGTGATTCAGCCACCGCAGATCAGACATAGGGTTTTGGAGAGTAGTCAGAATTTACAGGTTGTGGAGGTTGGGGTGCCGGCGGAACATATGACTACTATTGATTGGGAGATGGAGTTGCCGACTTCGACGAGGAGGCCGGAGAGGGAGTGGGAGGGTCAGAGGTTTGTGCGGAGTTGCGTTGAGGATGCGGTTTGGGGGACGTGGAGAGTGCCTGGGTTTGAGGCGTGGGATACGGGTGTTGGGGTTGGGACGAAAGGTGTTGCTAGTGTGAGGGTTGCGAGGCCGGATGGATCGAAACGGGAGGGTGTGGTTACGAGTCATGATTCGGATATTTTGTTTACTTGTAAGTGTGGTGAAGAATGGGGTAACTTACGGAAGCTGACACGAGTTTAGTTGTGCTCACAGGATCGTGTATGCTCCATGGCGAAGGCGAAGGTGCTCATGCTCTTACTGAAGGAGATGCATACACACTCCCGCCCTCCCACAAGACGAGTCTGACAAATCTCTCGACTGATCTGACGCTACTTGAGGTCTCGTTACCAGCAAACTTCGAGACGAAGATACATGTAGATGAAAGCCTTAGCTAAAATCCTATACATAGTCAATTGCCTGTAAGTCCTTAACGTTCAGGGAGGATAGACTCATGTTAAACATCTCCTTTCAGCCTTAGTAATAAGAGGCTAATGCCCGGGCATAGATTTCTCCCTAGAATCAACTATTAAGCTTCGGGCGATTGCTAAAGTTTTGCTTTTAGAAGGTCAACTTCTAATAAAGTGCATTGTCCTCGATGCTATTTTGCCTTAGTTACGTCTCGACGACAGTCCTAATAAGGGTAATAGAAGACTATATATATTAAGAAGTCTCTTCGCTACGACGCCTTCTCGTGCCCCTAAATTCTCTTTAAAAAGAGCTTAACGTATACACACAGTAGCGAAACTCGGGTACGTAGGTAGAATATACTAAGGTACGCGAAAGAGTTGTCTTTTTACTAAAGCCTTTCCTAGGGTTTTCGCTTATTATCTTCGTAACGCCTTTGTTTAGATAATAGCAAGGTTCCGGACATATCTACTAAATATTAAATATTTAATATTTGCTAGCTATATTTGTATTTAGTCCTAAACTTAAGTAAATGTTTATATTTAATTTATACCTAGTACTATATATAGTTAAGTCTATAGCAAAGGCTATACTTATATATTTATCTATCCTAGAGCTAGAAGTATACTTCTAGAATTAGACCTCCTAAGTTCGGGATATAGATAGGGCTATAAGAGCTAAGAGGATATAATAGAATCTCTTATAGCTAGAATATCCTAGCTCTCTACTAAGGCTAGCTAAGGCAATTAGGGATCTACTATATATAAGGGTTAGTAGCTAAGCAGTAAGAATGTGTACGAAACTTTGAACTAAACTGAAGGGAGCACTAAATCAATATAGCTGCTATCTGTATAAGACGAACTGCGAAGAAAGGAAGAAGGGTACCTTAGAGGGAGAGCCCCTTCCTTAGTATTCCGCCCTACGGCCGTCTAGCGCGTCCGACGCGTAAGCGTAAGCACGTATATCCTGCTTGCCCGCTGTCTCGTAGCGCCTTTGTCTCCTAGCTAACTAGCGTAGCGCGCGTATGCGAACTCGTTTAACCGCTCTTAAGCAAATATGTTTCTCCTAGCTCTTCCCTGCCTTCCGGTTCCTTCCTACTACTCGGATCTGTCCTACGACTCTATATATCTCGCTTGCTATCGTCCGTATATACGTACGCGTAGTTTAGTGCAGTCCCGTCGTTCGTGTATTAATATATAACGTGTTGTTCTGCTATATACGGCCTCCGCGGGAGTCCCTAAGATATTACGTTATACAGCTAAGTAGGCGACCTAGGCGTACTAGGCGTACTAGGCGTACTAGGCGTACTAGGCGTACTAGGCGTACTAGGCGTACTAGGCGTACTAGGCGACCTAGGCTAACTAGGCGACCTACTTCGCTAGGGGCCCCTACTACTAAGGCAACTCAAATCTAATATTACTTTATAGTATAGCGGCTAGCTTGTAGGACTTGTCGGTGCTTTCTAGGCAGCTACTATAATAGTAGCCCCCCCCTCGTTCTACGCGGAGTTCCTACGACGCTAAAGGAGGTCCGTATATAATAGGTGCTAGTGTTCTTGTCCTAGTTCGGGTCGGAGACCTTAATCTAAATTCTATTCGTACGCTTCTCGGAGAAAATGTTCCGGGACAGCTCCTTCTATTATCGTATAGTCGGTATAGTCTCGTAGGAATTCCTCGATTGCTTCGCGGGCGAAGATAATATAGCGTAGAGGTTCCTAGGTCGTGTCCTCGTCTAAGTACCCCTCCTATTATACCTCTCCCTACGGCCCGGGAGGGTTAAGATTTCCGAAATTTGTGTTACTAAAGCTCTATCCGATAATCGCCCGTACTATACCTAAGGCAGATTCCGGCTCGTCTTCGGCCTAATCGGTAGCCTCGGTAGCTTCCGGTATTAGCGGGATGTCTTCGGGGTCCGCGATTTCTCCGGCGGTTCTTAGGTTAACAACGTGTTTAACCGGGTAAATGTTGAGATTTTCTAGGAGATCTAGTTCGTATACGTGTATGCCGATTTTCTTTACAATTCGGAAGGGTCCTAGATTTTTCTAGTCGAGCTTTTTCGAAGGTCGGTTAGTTCTAATATATCGTAAGTCGAGGTAGACGTAATCTCCGACCTAGTAATCTAGCGCGGCGCGTCTGCGCTAATTAGTATAGTGCTCGTATACTTCTTAGGTATACCTTATCTCGTCCTAGAGCTCTTAGTAGGTCTAGGCTATTTAAAGAGCGAAGGCATCGGCGTCTCTTTCCGGATCGTTTACCGGGGGCTCTAGTTCGATCTCTATCGGTTCTATACCGGTTCGAGGGTGAAATCTAGTAGAGGCGTAGAACGGCGTAGTCTAAGTTGTAGCCGACTCCTAATTGTTAATAGCAAATTCAATAGAAGGCGTTAATCTTAGCTAGTCGTTTTAGTAGTAATTGTAGAAGCACCTAATGATTTGCTCGATCTGCGCGTTAGCGCGTTCGGTTTACCCGTCGGTCTACGGGTAGTAAGCCGTTAAAAGGCGCGCTTAAATTTTCAATCGTTCGTAGAGGCGCTTCTAGAAACGGGCAACGAAATTCGGGCCGCGATTAGATACAATTAATTTAGGTAGGCCTATATCTTTCTATACGTCCCGGTAGAAGACCTAAGCCGTATTCTTTGCGGTTAGGCTGCGGGCATTCAATACCTTCTTACGTTTCGTAAGGCGGCAAACTACGACTAGCATATTTTAAAACTAGAGGCCGTTAAAGTCGGATCCTTTCGGTAGGCCTATAATAAAATCTATTAAAATGTATTACTATAGTCGTAGAGGGACTTTAAGAGGTTTTAGTAGCCCTTGCGGCTTACGCGTATCTGCTTTCGCTCTGCGGTATACTACGTAGTTCTTAACGAATCGGTCGATATCCTAGTATAGATTAGGCTAGTAGTACTACTTCCGGAGCTAAGATAACATCTTGGCTCGACCGGGATGTGCTATTCCGAGAGGGTTGTAAGCGGAACGCATAATCTAGTCGCGTAAATCTTCGAAATCCGGGACGTAGAGGGCATTTCTAAATGTTATACGGGATACTCGCGGTAGAGTTCTACGGAGCTCGTACTCCGAGAGAGAAACATTCTCGTATAACCGCTCCTCGTTCTATAAAGCTTAAATTAGACCTTTAGTAAAAGCGTCTTCGGCGTATACTGTCGTAAGCTGCTATTCGAGCTAGGTAGGTTCGAGGAGGTCCTATACTTCCTCTTCGCTTTCCTAGTCGCTATCTAAGCTTTCTAAACTCGTGTCTTCGTCGTCCGAGCTATCGTCGTCTCTAAGAAAGGCAGGAGCGGCTATTAGTATAAAGGATGCTACGAGAGGCTCTAGGCCGGTAAAGTCGTCTCCGAGGAGCTCGTATAGTTCCTAGCTAAGGTTATGCTCCTTAAGGATAGACTGTTCTTTACGCTACGGACCTCGATCTAAAGGCGAGTCTCCGTTGCGCCTCGTAAGTGCGTCGGCCTATAAGTTTGCTTTGCCGGGCGTATACTAAATAACGAAGTTAAACCGGGAAAGAAACTTACTCTAGCGTACCTACCTACGGCTAAGGATTTTACTCTTAAGAAAGTAGATAAGGTTCTTATAATCCGAGCTAACCTAGATCGGTAACTTAGAACCTTCGAGTTCCGGACGCTATTCTTCGAAAGCCTTAACGATTGCGAGGAGCTCCTTATCGTAGATGTCGTAATTATATTCCGCGGAGGACATTTTCTTAGAGAGGTAGGCTATAGGCAGCTACGTATCTTCCGGGGTCGTTCGTTAAAGGAGAACGGCGCTAGTTGTACCGTCGGAAGCATCGGTTTCTAGGCGCGTTTCTTTATCGAAGTCGAAGTACTATAGGATCGGTGCGGTCGTAAAACTTTACCGTAACTAGTCGAAGGCTTCTTAACAGGCCGGTAACTATTCAAATTTAACGTCTTTCTACGTAAGTGCCGTAAGTAGACGGGCGATTCCGCTAAAATTCCGTATAAATCTCCGGTAGAAGTTAGCAAAACCGAGGAAGCCCTAAACTTCTTTTACGTTTCGTAGCACTCCCTAGTTTAGAACGGCTTCGATCTTACCGGGATCTATTCGAATACCTTCTAAAGAGATAATAAGGCCGAGGAATTTCACCTCTTACTTATAGAATTCGCACTTATCGATATCGATATATAGTCTAGCTTCTACGAGTTTCTTAAGTACCTTTTCGATATATTCGTAGTATTCCGCTTTCGTTTTGCTATAAATTAGGATATCGTCTATATACGCCGAGACGAAGGCGTCTAGGAATTCTTTAAGCGTATCGTTAATGTATAATTAGAACGTGCTAGGTCCGTTGCAGAGCCCGAACGGCAAGACTAGGTATTTAAAAAGGCCGTAACGGGTTCGGAAGGCTATTAACTATTCGTCTCCCTCGGCAATACGGATCGCGTTAAAGGCGGCGATTACGTCGAGCTTAGTAAACTAGCGAGCCTTCGAAAGGCGTTCGAGCGTTTCGTTTACGAGAGGGATTAGGTAGCGGTTCTTTTTCGTTAACGCGTTAAGGCCCCGGTAGTCTACGTAGAAACGGAGACCTCCGCCGGGTTTCTAGGCAAATATAACTAGTGCGGCTACTTCGGAGGAACTAGGGCGGATAAAGTCCTTTTATAGGTTATCTTCGAGGTATTTTTTTAGTACAAAGAGCTTATCTCGAGATATCGAGTAGAGAGGGCCGTACGGCGGCGGCTTACCGTCGATTAGCTCGATTTTGTAGTCGATACCTAGCCGGTACGGTAGCAGAATGTCGGCGTTCTTCTTCGAAAACTAGTAGAGTCGGTACTAATGCTCCTTCGGTAGTTTCGTTCTTAGATCCGTTAGTTCTTCGTCGAACTTTCGGATAGCCTTCTCGATATCCTATATTATTATAGCGAAGATCTAAGTGCGTTTATCGTAGGCAAGACGCGAGAAGGCAGCCGCGCTAATAGCGAATACGGTACGATCTCGGGGAGTATCGGAGGTAGAACTAGATTCGTTAAAGCAGTACTTAGCGCAATACTTACTCGTAAAGGACAGAAATTCGGAGGCCTAGTCGATAACCGGGTTATACTTTTTAAGCTAAGGAAGACTAAGAATAACGGGATAAGTCTTCGGGAGTTTCGTAAG